TGAGAGAAACCAGCTTGGAATAAACTGAAAAGGTAACACAGGTGGGTGGGTATGGTCAAACCTTTGATAACGACCCTCTGCGGGAGCAGTAGAGAGGCAGGCAGGAGCGGTCTCCTGAAGGTGAGGAGTGAGCTCTCACCTCCTCAAGCTTCACCCAGGCCAAGGTTCTCCAAACCCTACACCATCAACCCTAAGCTGACCAGAGCTGACCCTCACAGCTCTAGAAGACACCACACCGAGGATCAGAGGGGAGTGGGAAAGGCCTTCAGCCACTGCCGGCTCTCCTCCGACCTCAGACTTGCCTGCATCTTCGGCACATGAACCCCATTCCTTATTCTTGGGTATTGTACTCTAGCATTCAAAACTTCCATCATGGGGTGGGGGAGGGATGGATTGGGAGTCTGAGATTAGCAGATGCAAACTATCACACATAGAATACAACAAGGTCCTACTGTGTTGTACAGGAAATGCGCTATATCCTGTGATAAACTGTAACAGAAAAGAATGTATGTATGTGTATATCTGTATGTGTGTGTGTGTGTGTGTAAACATATATATGTGCTTGTGCTTAGTCACTCAAGTCATGTCTGACTCTCTGTGACCCCATGGACTGTAGCCCACCAGTCTCCTCTGTCCATGGGATTCTCTAGACAAGAATACAGGGGTGGATTGCCATGCCCATCTCCAGGGGATCTTCCCAACCCAGGGACTGAACCCAGTCTCCCGCATTGCTGGTGGATTCTTTATGGGCTGAGCCACCCCATATATATATATATATATATATATAGGCTAAATCACTCCACTGTACAGCAGAAATTGGCACAACACTGTAAGTCAACTATATCAATAAATTAGAAAAAAAAAAAAAAAACAACAAACCTGTTCCATCATAAAGGCCTTAAGTCTCTACTGAAAAGCTCCTATATGTCCAAGAGGCACTGAAAAGGTATGAAGCGCTTCCTCATACTCTTTTAGTTAAGAAGATCTGATCTCAACCTTCCCGTTTACAGACCTACTCTTCTAGGCCTTCCCAACAGACCCTTTCTGACTTTATCCGCCACTGTTCTTCGCCTTGAAACTTCCTCTACTGCCTATGTGTGCCCCTTGTATTTGCCCACCTCCATGTATTTGCTGTTTTTGCCCTTTAGAACTAGCCCCTCCTCCTTGCCCTGTTGAATCTCACCCATCCCTTGCACCTGGCTCGAGTCTCTACACATCTAGAACACCTGTCCTGGTCCCTTTCTCTGGCATTTCTCCTACACTGCTTGGGAGCACCTTTGCTGCCTGTGCCCCTCCTTACCTCCTGCACTGAGGAACACTGAAGCTGCCTGCTTATTCCTTTGTTTTCTTTGCTGGCGCTGGTACATCAGAGGCAGTTGGTAAAATAAACATTTGTTTATTGATGGGTTGATTGAGAAAATCCAGTGGTTCTTCCTCCCTGTAGGATGAAGCTTTGCAGCAGTCTTGGCAGGGCTTTCTCAGGGACAAATGAGAAGGAAATGGGGGCCACAAGCATTAATAGTCTGCTTCCTACAGAATCACTAGAGGGAGTTTCAAGTCACTTGAGTTCAAGTTCAAATTAAGCTCTGGCTATCCTGACCATCAGCTACTTCAAATGCTCCTGTAGACGCCTTCTCTTTCTTGGAAATGTGGAGAAATTTAAACCAAGAAAGCTCATGTTTTCTTTAAACCTATAGATAAAGTTTTCTTGGCATTTTAAGTTGCAGGTTTCCTCTGGCATAGTCCCTTTTAAATGTTGAAAAAGGCAGTTTTATAACCTATAGTCTCTCATCATACCACGCTTCATGTAACAAGAGCATTACACAAGGGTGAAAATTCAGCCTGCAGTGTTTTCTCCACTCAAGGTACTGGCTAAAATGGACATAATAACTAGTAGGTTGCAGTGACTTTCATGCAATATGGGTTTCTATCAGAAAGTTTACACTCGCCAAGTTTTCAGGGCCGAAACATTTCGTGGAAATTGGTTGAATCAAATCCAGGCTCCAAACTGGCCTTAAACACACACAGCCATTATTGCAGCCACAAAGACAGGGGGGCCCCTGGACACAAATCTAAAATAACATGCTTTACGATTTCATGGGGACTATTTCTGTCCCCTGCCAACAACGACATGAAAACCAAGAATCTTAAAATACTGAAAGTGGTAGTTTAAAGGCAGAACTTTTTTCCCCCTCCAAATCCCAAAGGCAGGAACTCAGCAAGGAAGCATCAGGGAGAATGTGTCCCTCCGAGCAGACACCAACTCACACCCTAGAGCGGGTGCCCACGCGGACACATCTTCTCACAGAGTCAAGAAAGTTTAACTGCCATGTCTGTTTATACGTCACCCTGGCTTCTCCTGACGTAGACTGTATTCTCTTTTATGGAAGAATGATTTATTTACTTTCAGATTACTAATTTACAGGAGATGCGAGGCAACAGAGAGTCTTGGCTGCGAAGTCTTGGGAAAAGTAAGACTTTCAACTCAGTCCCTCCTAGTGTCTCCCAGAGTGGCCCCAGGCTGCAGTTACTGCCCCCAACCAAGGCTGCACACTGCCGTCAGGGCCAGGCCCAGAGAACAAACGCGAAGGTGCCCTTGCCTATCTGGGGCTTTCTCTGATTTAGCTGGAGATAATGAGTTTCTTAAAAAAAAAAAAAAACCTTTACGAGACACACATGTTCAGATATGATAGTTCTTTTGAGGGTGCGTATGTTTTCAAATGGCATGTGTGTTAGTTGTTCAGTCGTGTCCAACTCTTTGAGACTGTAGCCCACCAGGCTCCTCTGTCCATGTGATTCTTCAGGCAAGAATACTGGAGTGGGTAGCCATTTCCTTCTCCAGTGGATAGTCCCAACCCAGGGTCTGAACTGGGATCTCTTGAACTGCAGGCAGATTCTTTACCGTCTGAGCCACCAGAATTCACCCCAAATAAGATTTCCCCTATTTCTCACATCCAGCTGCCTTCCAGAAAGACAAGAACACTCTGGGTGCAGAGAGAGAACAAACCGGGCTGTCACACATCTTCCCTAGGAAGGAGCTTTCTCCAGCACTGAGTTTTTATGATTAGAGAGGAAAGTTCAGACTCCGTGGGGTGGGGAAAAGGGTGGGAGTGGGAGCCGGGAGAAACAAAGCAACCTGTCAAAATTCCTTTTAGCACCTATCACTAGTGTTAACTCACCTGCTCTCAAAGTGCAATTAAAAGCCTGCAAACTGCTGTTAAAAAGATAGTTTGACCTTTTAAAATGGAAACTCTCCCAACTTATATCCATATTCAAAAGATGAGCCTTGGGAACTCTGGAGTTTTAGATTACTAATGAAATGAGGCTGACTTTTCAGAAGAGGGTTTCCCTATGGGCTGCAAGCTAATTAGGGTGTTCTAGACCTACATTGTAACCTGCATTGCAAAATGCAGGCCCCAAACCTTTCAGCCATTGTAGTTGCCAACTGAGCAGAGTGTACTTCTGAAAGGAGGCTGGCAGGGAGTTATGAAAATTTAGTTAATGAAAAAGTCCTGGACGCGACTGTCAGCAGCCTGCGGTTCCGGGGCAGGTTGTCGGCCCCTGGCGGCAGAAGAGTCGCTGCGGAGCCCGGCGCGCGCCGAGCGGCGCTGCTGAAAGAAGTTGGAGAGCTCCCAGCTCGCCGACAGAATTCGGCGGTGGGCGCTGGGGAATCCCTCCCAGCGCCGGAGAATAAAGTTTTGGAGTAAATCAAGACCCTAGACCGACATGAGACCCACACTTTCACTGAGCAACGACACGTATCGCACCGCGCCAATCAGAGGCTGCTCGCACAAGGCCATCAGCCTGCTCCGCTGGGACGCGCCCGGTGCCTTCCCACTCCCACCACCTCCGGTACTCTTCCGGAGGGCGCTGAGCCAGGGAGGTGGCTGTCGGGTGTGCGGCTCCGGATGGAAACGCCTCCAGGCTTTCCGGTTCGGGGGACAAGGGCTCGAAGTCAACAGTCGAAGGAACAAGGGCTGACCAAGTCCAGGCTGGACGCCTGGGACCTTCCTCTGCAAACCGGCTCGGGTTTCTCCAAAGCACGCGCGGTACAGCCCACGCGCCCCCGGCACTCCACTACTCTCTACAGGTCCCCCCAAACTCTTCCCCAGAAGCCCTGCAAAGCACAGACGGCGCCCCGAAACTCCCAGGGCACTAGCCAGCCACCCCCACCTCCGTCTCTTGAACCCTCCTCAGAGCGTTCTTCCCGCCCCGCACCATGCTCCTAGCATTCATAGGGAATCAGAAGCAAACCACGAGAAAATGCCTTCGCGAGGAGCCTCCCTACACACATCAGCCCTGTCACTGAAACAAAAGCGTAGGGAGGAGGGAGATGGAAAAGGAGGCGGGAGGAAGGTTTATAAACAGGATGGGGACAGCAATTAGAAGGAGCTGGGGAGGAGGGTAGGGGTGAGAAGAGGCCAGGGCCACGGACCCCGCTCCTACTCCGCGCGGCCGGTCGCTTACATGCCCAGGTCGCTGTAGGTGTTGAAGAACTCCATCTGGTTGCACGCCTGGATCCAGCCCACCACCCAGGTCTCGTGGCGGGGGATGGGGGGCATGACCACGCGGGCCGAAGCTTTGAAGTAGGGGGTCTTGTAGCGCAGGACGATGGGCGAGGTCTCTTCGATGCGCGTGGGGCACTGGTCGATGGTGGCGCACACATCGTACACGACGATGTTCTCGCGCCGGATCCTCGCCTTGCAGGTAATGCTTTGGATACAGCCCATCCTGCCGCCCGGCGCCGGCGCGGCGCGGCGTGGGGCAGCGCCGGGGACCGCGCGGGCAGCCGGGGGCGCCCGTCACACCGGCATGGCGACTCGCCGCCCGCTCTGGGTCCGGCTCAGCTCGCGCCTAAGAGCGGGGAGCCGCCGCCGGGCATCCTCGGAGGCAGCCCCCTCCTCTCGCCGCCTTGCGGGGTCCCGGCTGCCCCGACGCCCGCCCGCCCCCGCCCACACCCGCCCCCTCTCTCCCGCAGGGCGCGCGGAGAGCGTGCGCTCCTAGAAGGCAGCGGGCGCCCCCGCCAGCTCCAGGGCCCGAGCGGAGGGCAGGGTGGGGAGCGGCGCTGCGAGGAGTGGTGCCCACCCCGGGCCGGAGCCCCCCGCCCCTCGCCAGAGAGGAGGAGGCGGCAGCGGTGGCGGCATGGAGCCGGGGGAGGGCGGCGGCGGCGGCGGCGGCGGCTCCCGGTCTGTCTGCCTCCGCGGCGGCAGCAGCAGCAGCCGCGGCCGCCGCCGCCGCCGCCGCCGCCGCTGCCGCTGCATGAACCTCTGCACCGCGGCTGCCCCCCGCGTGCAGCGCACCCAGCGGCGGGCGAGCGGGCGGCCCTCGCAGCAGGCGGAGGCAGCCGTGGCAGCGGCGGAGACCTGCGCTCCCGCCGGCCCCGCCCCGCAGCTGGGCCGCAGCGACACTCTTCTGCCGGGCCGCCGCGGCCTTGGGGCCGCCAGGGGCTGTGACCCAGGGTGGAAGGCCCCACGGGCCGGGTGGTCCGGGACGAGATCCGCGGAGGAAGCTGGCGGAACGCCATGAGTTTTGTCCCTCTCCGGCTGCCGTTCGGGTCGGGGTTGGGCGGGGGGTACTGTGTAAGGGTGGGGGTGTTTAAAGGGCCGCCAGCGCCGGGGTGGGGCCCGACACGTGGGGCCCTGGCGGGGCGGGGCTGCAGTGGGTGGTTCTCCTGGGGTGGGCTCGGGGGTTGTGGGGACCCCTCCTGGGTTGGGTAGCTGTTTCCGAGAAGGGCAGGGCGCTGTCCAGAGTCTGGGTGGGAACCCGGCAATGAACCTTGGGGCAGCTTAAGGGTAAGGGGAGCAGCTATATCGGAGATTGGCTCGTCATTTATAATGTAGTTTGTTAAGAATTAGGCTTGAGCTCCCCTAGTATTTACCTTGAAGAAGGCCGAAGTCTGGGCCCCAGTATGGTGCTAAATGCAGTGGACTTACGTCTTTCCCTGACCGGGTTTGCCCTGGAAGCGTTTCTTTCCACCACTCTCCATGGTGAGGGTATCCAGAGAATTCTTCCGTGCCCTAACACGCAGAGTTTTAGTTGAAGCTCGAACTCAGCTTCACTCATCATCTGCCTTCATCCAAACCTTTTCCTTCTTAGAAAACCGTCTTTCAGCAAATCTCTACCCATTGGGAGATCAGAGCAGTAGTGAACTTACCCTAAACGCTGCATTTTGAATGTAGATGTGTCCCGAGACAGGTTATTGCCTTGCGATACAGACTGGCTGCATTAGAATGCTTAGCAGCCTTCTTGAGGTTACCCAAGGTAACTTGTGACCTGTTAGGTACAAGGAGAACTTGAGAACATTTTTGGAGCCGGGCTGGATTTAAATAGTAACTGCTTAATGATACAAGCCCAGGGCCATTTGTAGTAACCCATCTGTCCTGTAGAAATCCTGGATCTCAGGGACCTGTTCTTTCCTTTGCTTTTGCCATGGTGACTGGCCCTCAGTAGCTGCTCAGCAGTTTCTGTGAGTGAATGAATGAGTGAACAAACAAAAGCATCACAGTAGCTTGTCTGTGGAAACTGCCACCACAGATATTGGACATTGTGTACGGCATGACGCCCTGTGTCTGATGCCGTGCTCTAAAATGCCAAACAGGGAAAAAAAAAAAAAAGCACGTGGTTTTACTGGGCATTTTCTTCCCATTTGTATTTTTAAAGCCAATACCTTCTTTTTAAGTATTTCTTCCATGGTCATTGAGCATTTGTTGGATCTAGTGTCCAGGTGTGAAATATTCTGACTTAGGCTGCACAGGACTCTGGTTAGCGTTAATCTTTAGCTAAGGACAGAGGAGTAATTTAAAAGTCAGTTGAGGTCTAAAAGTACCCTATCCTTATTTTAACTTTCCTGGCACCTTGATTCAGTTTAGAGTTAACAAAAAATGTAGTTTTTGCCCTTTGATAACAGGCTTCTCTCATTTTACCATGTAACCCCCAATTTCAATCGCAGGTCCTTTTGTTCAGCGAACACTGACTGTGTGGCCAGAGCCCAGCATTGTGTTAAATACTAGGGTTCAAAGACAAGAGCTTGTGGACCACTGGAGAAGATAACTTTGTTACCACATTCTTGCTGTAAACTGTGACGCGTGCCTTAGTAGCATGTTTTAAGGGCCGCAGGAGCCCAGATAAGGGAGCCACTGAGAGGTTTGCACGTGGCTCTCCTGAAGCAGTGGCATTTGAACTGAATCTAGAAGGTGTGGTAGAAATTCGCTAAGAGTACAGGAGTGAAAAGGCCGTGCAGCACAAGAATTGGATAAATACAAATATGCATGGAGGTATGAAAGAACACAGCGTAATTAGGAAGATAAGCAGCTCCCAGTCAATGCTGTTCTCAAAGTGTTATGTGCAGACCCACGGGCATCAGACTCACTGGCCAGGAACCAGTTATTGATGGGACCATATTTTTATCTTCAGTGGCAACTAATGAACGCAAAATTTGCATTTTAAGAAAAATTACTCTGTCAGCTTGGGGGATAGAGGAAGGACAGATTAGAGGCACTGTGTCAGGATATTGTGATGCCAGAGGATTTGGGTCTGAGTTAGGGCAGTGCCATGGGCCTGGAGAGGCCCAGCTGCTTTTGAGAGTCATTTAAGAGGTCAAATCAATTTACTTGGTAACTGATTAGATATTGAGAGAAGAGTCTGGCCAGTTCTAAATTTTCCAGCTTCAGCAATCAAGTACATGTGATCTTAATAGCCAAAACAAGGTGACAAGTGGAAGCAGATTGAGGTTGTGTGTTATCATGTTAAGTTTGAGGTACTCTGGGGAGGGGGCCAGATTGAAGTTTCAGTGGTTATTAAGTTACAGGAAATAGACTAAGGGAAAAGCATTCAGTTGGGGGAATTTAGTTATCTATGTTGGTTTGTCAGGCTAAAATTTTGTGGATAAATATTATTCTTTGTCTTCTGGTAATACATACTGAGCCTTCATAAACAGGGAAGGACAATAGTAGTCTTCTCCAGATTATAAGAAAATCATATAAAAGAGAATATATCTTATTTTTCCAACTTAAAATGAGAGCATGTTATATCCAGTAGAGTGCCAATAAAATATAATTCATTATTCACAGACATGGACCCCTGACATTCTCAAAGGGTTCATCCATGACCTTCATGAGTCTCCAGAATCATGAATATCACCATGACATATAATTTCCACTATAAAAAGCAGTAAAGTGTAACTGAAAAATGTAAGGGGTATTTTTTAGACTCTTAATGGTCTATAAATATGGTGCCAAGGTATTTCTAAAGCTTCTTAAATAAATTTTGCCATTAGAATAAACTTTTTACTTCATTACATGTGTACCTTATTAACTCCATATTTCTCTGACTCTGCAAAGGAAAAAAAGTTAATCACAGTGTGAGAATTACCACATAGATGCCAATGAGAAAAGAGGTAAGCTGTGCTGGGGCACAAATGCTAGGTGTGGAGTGTGATCCATTTACCAGTAAATGGCTGGCAAGTACACTCTGGTCTCCTAGCAGACCATTCAAGTTTGTGTCTCAGCAAAGTATCTAATTTCAGGGATATTTCAGATCACTCAATAGAGACTATTTTCATTCATGAACATTCAGTCTGCAAAGAGCGATGGGCTGCTACATGTAGCTCAAACCAGAAGTGCGACAGAAGTGCGACAGTGCCTGTGCTGCTCTTGTAAGTTTCTCTTTCTCTCTTGGTGAAGTCTCCCTGCCTCTGTTAGCACCATGTTCCCGCCTCTATTAGCATCTTTTCTGCTGTTTCATGGTGGTTTGCTCACTCTTGTCTCCCTCAGCAGGCTGTACACGTCTCAGAGGGATGTGTTGTCTGCCCTGTTTCCCAGCCTAGTGCCTGGCACCTAGGAGCTGCTCAATAAATGTTTGAATGACTAAATTTATTTTTTTAATCTGATAAAATACTATTTCTCATAACTTAACTATGAGCACTATCTCTTTACTTACATTGAGCATATATATATATATTTAATTCATTTTATTTATTTATTTTTGGCTATGCTGGATCTTCGTTGCTGTGTGAGGGCTTTTCACTGGTTGCGGTGTGTGGGCTTCTCACTGTGGTGGCTTCTTTTGTGGAGCACAGTTCTAGGGCATGCGGGCTCAGTAGTTTTGCTACATGAGCTTTGTTGCCCCGTGGCATGTGGGATCTTCACAGACCAGGGATCAAACCTGTATCTTCTGCATTGGCAGGGAGATCCTTTACCACTGAGCCACGAGGGAAGCCCACTGAGCATATATTTTTTAATCTACGTCTTTCTGCATGGCACCTCTTTGTCCCCCCACCCGCTTTGTCTTTCTCTGTCGAGCATCCCTACTTGATGTAAAGTTGACGTCTTTTGTCTTTGAGCACTATTATCTCCTCTCAAAGATTATCAGTCCTAAATACCAAGAAATGGAACAGCTTTAATGGCAGGACCTCAGTAACAATCATTCCTTATGAATAACTTCATTCGAGTTTATTCTCAGGGCACACACAGTTCCTCCTTTGTACTCATGCTTTTGATGCTCTTGTGCATGACAGAGCCTCTCAGTTCCCCGAGTCAGAGCCCTAGAGTGCACTCTCCAGGATGCTGGCCTCTGTATCCCCTTTATAACCCCCTGCCTCAGCCTCCAGTGACCCCACACCCCATGTTTCCAGAAACTGGTCAATCTCTGACTTTATTTTTCCTATCAGTTGACTCATTACTCAGTTTGTCAAGTGAGCTTTTTGGAAACTCTGGGTCACAAAGGCCTATTTTCTAGTTGATCTTGGTAAGAGTTTTCAGAGACTGTAACAGACCACCAAAAGTTGTTGAGGAATTACCTTTGGAACTTCTTAAAAGGGAGATAATTTCTATCTGACTTAGACGGTCCGAAGGCAAGCAAGGGGTTAACTGAATCCTCAAGGTCTTAGAGAATATGATTAAGGAAACAACTCTTTTGGGGGGTAAAGCCCTCCTACCACCGCTTCAAGTCTGAGTACCCAGCCTCCTTTCCAGGCTCGGCTAAGAAGGCTTACAGGAAGTGGACCCTGGCAATGGACGCAGCCTACTTTGCTGAATGCCGTCAGCCCAAGGTGCAGCAGCTTCTTCAAGTGGCCAATATTCGTCAAGTTTTTCTAGCAGCCTCACATTACAATAGGCTGCAGAGACTATCAAGGATGCCCTAGTTGGTGAGCTGTCTTGCTGAATGTCACTTGTGCCTGTCTTTGCCACGATATCCTTTTCTCAGTCCTTATATGCAGGGCTTGATGCTTTTCTTCTTTTTTAAATACATAAAGCATGTGCTTTTTAAAAAAAAAATTATTTATTTGGCTGTACTGGGTCTTAGATGCAGCATGTGGGATCTAGTTTCCTGACAAGGGATTGAACCTGGGCCCCCTGCATTGGGAATGCAGAGTCTTAGCCACTGGACAACTAAGGACGGCTCTTGAAGCCTTTCTTTTAATTCCAGGATTCTGCAGATCCAAGTTCTCTTGGCTTCTCTGATTCCTCTTACTTCCTGCCTTCCCCCAGGGTATATTTTCTAAGGAGCCCTCCTCCCCAGCCTGAACTCCCTCAAGGCATTTACCCATGTTGCTGGCTTTAACTATTATTTTCAAAAGTATTTATTATTCAGTGATGTCTTCCAAGTTCCTCCCTCCAGCCCGAACATTTCCTGAACTCAACACCAGCGTGTCCATCTGCCTCTAGATGTTTCTGTGTGGATATACTGCCAACTTCATCTCAGTGAGTTGACACTTGTCTTCCTGCAAGCCAGGGTCTCCTCTTGATGACCTTGTTTCTAGGTAAAGGTTCCTCCCTCTCCCTCTTTGCCATTCTCCTCCCACACATCAAGGCAGAGCAAATTTTGATCCTAATCCCCCCTATTCTAGAAACTTCCGGTATTTTTTGTTATTATCTGAATTCACCACAGATCTTTTGATTTGATATTGAAGTGCTCCATTGATGGAACCCCAAGCAGTGCTTCTAGCCTTTGTTCCTCTGCTTCTTCTATACCCTGGATTTCAGGCCA